CGGTTCTCTTCTTACCGGGGTACGTGAATTTCCTGTGTCGCGTGATCGCCGCAGAAACATCTGCGAGATGTCTGCCAGAATGTTGCGCGCGGAACGCTCCTCGCTCTCGCTATAACTCACGTCCTTTGTCAGAAATCCTGCTATACCTAGCGAGAGAGCGGCGGATATCCGTAGTTAATTCACTATAACATTTGCGCAGGATTACGTTACATATTTTACATGTGGAGAAAGAATTGTTTGCAAAACGGGAAATGGAAAACTTTCGAACTGACTTTGTTTCTCATATAAATTTAATCTCGTTCCAATAATAAATACCTTTAATCTTAATTGCAAATGTGACTTACTTCGGGAGGTGATTACACATGTATATGGAACGTGCGCTTGATCTAATTACTCATTAATTCTTAATGCGCGATAATTAATAGATTATCCACGAGTAATCTTATCAGGAAAATAATTACACGTAATCATTAGTTATATATTAGACTATGAATATTTCGCGACGAATTAACATTTGCTGTTTAATGATGTGCCGAAATTATTTGCGTATATATATAGGGCGATTCGCGATCTACGTGCTCAAATGGAGATATAAGGGTCTCGTCGCGCGAACGCAGATGGATCATTTGCGTAAATTCATTTATCTTATAAGATAACACGTTAATCTGTTCATTAGCCGAGAGAGCGGTCGGAGTAAGCTGTTGCGAGAGAGCGACGATAGGTCCAAAGACGTTCCTCGTTCATCGATCACGATCGCGATATTGACAGCTTCGTATAGCCTCGCTGCCGTTTTCTCCTCCTCCTCCTCTCGCTATGCGAAGGATCTTTCTCGCGATTGCCGTGAACAGCCTTATAGCGAAATAGTACCGCGCTCGATCGATGAAAAAACGTCTAGTGCAGTAAAATCGTGTAGCAAATCGGGATTAACGTCGACGATATTACAGGCGATGTTTAATCGCGATCTCTGTGATTAGCAATGCCGACACGACGGTCGAACTGTGCCGATACTAATGCATAGATACTTCGTACCTCATATTCGACCTTTCATGCGTTTACAAGGCTCACTTCTAACGCGACATTAAAGCCCTTGAAGTGAACTTCGCATAAACTTCACTTGTTAGTCTAAATATATATATGTTTTGCGTCATACACGCGAGTCGTTATCAGTGCTTTCTTTCCGGGCGCGGAACGCTCGCGTCGATATTTCCCTTCAATATTGCAGCCAACATTATCGATACCCGACAGTGTCGATATTGCAATCTTATTTGTAACCCTCGTGCGAAGCTGACTAATGCAGCGCGATGCGAGGTGGAAATATACGTACATGTATATGTACATATACATATACATATTTATATATCTATATCTATATATAATCTCGCGTATATTTTCGCCGGGCGGAATCGTGCCGGCGCGCTTAATCGTGAATAATCTGTTTCGTGAAAATAGAAACGTCTACGTTTTCTGCCTCAGCTGTACCGCGCTCGGTGAAGTGAATTTTCTTCCCTCGGGTTCTACACCGAGGCGGGCGAACGCGAGGTAACGTCTACTTTATTCATGCCTCACGAAACGTGCATGCGACGCGCAGGCAGCTGCGATTTTTTACGTTTTCTAATATAAACGCGACCGGAGTCGCGTAAGGTCGCGATGAAAATTGGACGGGCGCCGCTGCCAGCCGGTGCGGCGCGGCGCGGCGCGGCGCAGAGGCGCGCGGCGGGACGAATTCGCGCGCGTCTCGGCCACGTTGGCAATTACGATACCGTTAAATACGGTCTCGCTGCTCGAAGAGATCGTACATCATAATTTGCACGGCAAATGTTGTGCGCGAGGGCGCGCACGTTTTGCGAAATACGCTTGGACGCCCGTCGGAGACACGTAACGACTGCAGAAACGATTCTAATTCTGACGTTCCGGGGGAGAAGTCGGTTGACAATCCCCGCGTACACGTTTTCTTATCGGGATAAAAAAAGAATACATCGCGCCGTATAATATCCTGCCGTTTTCATTTTTCACGAGTTTAATCCCCTCTGGAGCGCGGCGAAAGACAAGACCCGTCTGCGCGGACGAGGAGCTATTAATTTTCGTACGACCCACGAACGACGCGACGGATGAATACGTCGGCTCCGCTCTTATATACGTATATACCACCCGCTTTCGTCGCGCGGCCCGGTTCCTCGAAATAACGCGCGCGACTCCCCGCGTCATTCCCACGAGGAAATACGTATCGACGTATGACCGTGTAGGGGTGTCCCAACGTCGCGGGCCGCCCTTTCCCCGTTCCCCGATCCACGATATGGTATCCGAGTGACGCGGGGACGACGGCGCGGCGGGGCGACGGAAGCGAAGCGATACGCGGCGCGGTGCGGCGTTCGCAATTTACAGCGGCGCAAAACGATTTCGCGAGGCGAGGAGGAACGTCGGCGGCTGGCGACCACCGCGTATGGATCGAGCTTTAGAGAGGAGTCGGCCGCCCCGCGCGCGCGGATCTCTTTGTGCTACGCGAGGGCCGGAGGGCCGGCTTCTTCCTTCTCTCCTCCGGACGGCCTCTGCTGTGGCTACCCTCGTCCCCGATCCCGACCGCCCCCTCATCGCCGCCGCTGCTCTCTACCTTCCCTTTCCCCGTGCCCCGCCGCCGCGCCGTAGCGCGCCGTCCTGTCCTCACGGCGAGTCATCTCGTTTAGGTCGTGCTGGCGGCAGCGGCGGCGGCGGCGGCGGCGGCAGCGGTAACGGCGGCGGCGACGGCGGCGAGGAGGGCCGCGAAAAGGGGCTGGGTGATATCGGGTGGCCGAGGGGAAAGGGTCGGCGAGCCAAGGAACGAACGAGAAGAGGAACCGAGAAGAGGCGACAGGGTCGAGGGAGAGTAGCTGCGGGACAGAAGGATATATAGCTGTGTATTATGTACTTGGACCCGCGCGCGTTACATACTCCTTCGTCGTCGTCGTCGTCGTTCACATAAAGAGCGAGAGCGAGAGAAAGAAAGATAGAGAGCAGGTGTGTGTATACGAGAGCGCGCGTCTATCGCGGTGTGCGAATGCATGCGGGCGAGAGACGCGCGCTGCACGAGCGCCGAGGGGATTTCTTCTCTCTTTCTCATTTCCACTCCCCCCCCCTCTCTCTCTCTCTCTTTCACACCGCGTACCGCGTGCGTACGTGTGCGAAGGCTCACTTCGCACGCGAGCGAAGCTCTAACCAGCTAGAATCGAAGACGCCGGCGGACTTGGAATCACGCGAGCCGCGTAAAAATGATCCCCCGTGGTCGTACAGCGAAGGGGACCGCCCGAGATCACGGCGAGGATCTCGGGGGCAAGCATAGGCGGACAAACGAGGGAGAAATTCTGTACGCGAAGCGCAGGATAACGTCTCGATGATGAACGTCTTCGGAACGTTATTACATAATGTGTTGCGGAAGAATACGCTGCACGGTTACGATGCATAATCAAGGTACATACTGGGAACGATATTGACCCTAGTCGCGTAGATAAAATTTTAGAATGCTGAAACGAAAAGTTTTGTGAAGAATTTCACGATTTCAATGAATTTTGCACTTGTTTATTGCATATATGTACGTATAAGAAACAAACAATTGTATTGTTTCTCGAGTATACACCTGTTTGAACAATAAAAGAAAAGAATTACACTTGTAATAATGAGAACTTAAAATAATCCAGCTGCTTTATGTTTAAAAATAGCTATTATTATGTTCAAATGTAACAAATTATTTTTAATACTCTATTTCAAATACTATACTTGATGTGTGTGCTAATAAATTGCGCATATAACTAAGCATAATTTTTTGCTTTGCGGCGGATTTGAAATTATTTCTGGACAGGAAACTGTGGTCTCTCTATTCTGATATGATCAAACTGTTGACTGTCTCGTAAACAACTACTCGTGAAGTGTCGTCATGAGAATACAATGGCTATTATTTTTTCTTTAAAACTTAACATTCTAAAGTGTCACGAGATAACATGAGATTTATCTCTCTGATACAATAGAAGAATATGTGATAAAAAAAATTCAACATTTTATTCTGACTGCAAATCCATGCAAACTCCATGCAGTTTTTATTAATTTTATGTAATATCTTTTACTAAAAAAAAAAGTGCATTGTAAAACTGTAATTAATATAAGAGTTTATTAATCTCTTTGTGATAAAAAAAATATACAAAAGTTTAAATTTAAGATAAATTGTGCAAATGCAAAATGTAGTGATACTAATATAAGTAAATTTTTTAACTCAATACTACACAATTTACAAAGAGGTTTGTAACGCTATCTGACGGTGGATATGTTTCTCTCATCCTTGGTCGCAGCAGTAGAAGATAATTAAAAGGCCTCAATCGGTATTTGACTCAATTGATAAACTGAAGTGTTATATATAAATTAACATTATTACCTACTTCAAATAATATCGTTAATTGAGTATTATTAAATTTACAAAAGTTTCATTCTTATTAACTTTTTCTATAATATTAACTTTTATAATATTATTATTAACTTTAATATTAACTTTATAACTTTATTAACTATTTAATATTAACTTTATATTATTAACTTTTTCTATAATAATTTCTGTACCAGATATTTTCGATCAATTCACATATATTATCTACATATATTTATTTATTGATATTCATTGATTAATTTTATTAACTGTTAAATAATAAATACAAATTGAATTGTTAGATAAACTTTCTAAAGATCAATGCTTTTATTTACATACATGAAAAAATCATAATTATTAATAACAAAGTCAATTGATCTAGTATTGAATTGATTCTTTGGCTAAAGAATATCTATACAAAAATAAATAAATATACATATACTAGTATTACTAATTTTTAATTTTTTATTGAATACAATTTTTATAAATTTATTTCCCAAATACATAAATAAAGTAGTATGTGTGAAGAATTTTTACCCACCAAAGAATTATAATATGTAATAACATATTTTTAAAAAATACTCTTAAAGTAATTTGTTTTTGAATTTTATAAATGTAATAAATCATCAGTTAGATCAAAGCTAATATTTAGGATATAGATTGATCCGGACTTTATCCTTTCCAAATTTCATCCAAGCACGTAAAGGAAAGTTCTGCGTACTTCAAAATATGAACAAAATTAAGAAGTTAGTGAATGCTCTTACTGGTACTCTGATATAAGGTACAACTGAAAAAGATGGAGAACAAATTAATATACATTATACAATAATATAAAATATCACACAAATGTCCGTACAATACTTACGACATAGATAAAATATGCATTGACGGTATTTTGTAAGGACCCAACTATACCATCCGAGTTTGTTATCTGAAACATAAATTATCTTTGTTAACAATTTTACATAATATATTATTAGTGTTGATGAAAGTGCTTAAGCCGATGCTGAAAGGTCAAAATTACCGACATTGCAGTTAGATAAATATCTCCGAATTGACTGAACGAAATTGAAAATCCTTTCACAGGATCGAAATAGATACATACAATATAGTGATGGGACGAAGAAATTTGTAATAAAAACGAAAAAAAATTAAAAAGTTATTTTCTTTTTTTTTGTTTTTACTTCAAATTTCTTCGTCCCACCAATACATTTTATGTATCTATTTCAATCCTGTGAAAGGAATTTTATTCAATCAATTCGGCGATATTTATATAATCTCGGTAATTTCGATCTTTCAGCATCGCCTTAACAAGTAAGAGACATGTAATTTTGCAATAATCGTTACAATAAGTATTGTGAAATCAAATTGAATACTATATACGTATATAACAATATAACTTTTGGTAATTCTTTCTTACGAGAAAGATATACTGTCTTAATTTGATTACTTTATTTAACTTTTAATAATTTCTGGCATAATAAAAGTAACTGCTTATATTTCAAAATTTACCAGATATATATCAGAATTAAATATTTAAAAAGAATAAAAAGATCATTATATTAATTAATTACAAGAGAATAATCCGAAATTATCGAAATAAAAATGTATTTGTAAAATCAAAACGAAAATATCTACAGGTGAGCCCATGTAATTCATAGGTGTGTGCCATAAAAGAATCGTTATCAAAGGTGATATCTATATACCAAAATGCATCCAATGCTTGTGTTGTTATATCATAAAAATTAGATGGAAGATTACTCAAATAAGTTGCAAATAGATCTTTCATCTTTTGACATAATTCGGTAGTTTCTTCTGCGTTTTTGCGACACAAATTAAATCTGCGAATAATGATCAACTAATAGAATTATACAGATATCAGGATTGTTGATAATGAGCTTCTTATCAAAGTTTATAAAAATAATTTCATAGTTGACTCGTATTAAAAAACAGCAGCATGGTTTACACAATTAAAGTGATACTAAATGACTTTCGGACGCGTACCTTTCCATTGTACAATTATTATATCTTCCCAATTAATGTTGTTTCTTCTCTCTTCATTTTCCCTTCACCTCTTTTACTCATTTTTTCACTTGGATTTCTGCTCAAGGCTCTTACTTTAATTTCTTTCGAGTTTAATAACTTGCTTAATAGATTGTAGAACCGACTGTCTAGAATCATATCTACGAGTTCTTTCAGCTGTGGATTCAACATTCCCTATCTGTGAAGCTCAACATAAAAGGAGAACAATTCTTTTATTTCTTTTCGTAATGATTTATAAAATAATACCTCAATTGACGGAATTAACAGAACAGGCAGCCTAGAAAATTATCAAAATAAATCAGAATATTTAGAAGTTCCGTTTTTCTTAAATATTTTTGCTTCTTCAACTATATCAATATAAGACAATGGAATAAACGTATTTCCCTATTCCGCTCGTCGTATCATGCACGTCTTACACTATATTCTGCTTTCACTTATTAATACTCAAACAATAACCTGTAAATAACTGAGGAAAACGCACTTAATGTAAATTTAAAATCATTTCCCCAAAGGTCCTGTCCACTGTTCTCCGCATTTATGTACTATTGCGGATTACATATTTATTTCGTTCTTTCATTAAATTAAGAAACCTCACTCCTTTATTTTCTTTCCTCACACGTGGTCCAATCCTGGATTACAAGAATTAAATTCCTTGATCCGAAATTGGAATCGAATGTGACCGGTTTCTCAAACTAACGATCATGTTAATTTAAGAAAGTCCGAGTTATCAGTTATATATATCCTTTTCAGAACGTTGACTCATTTTCCAAACATATAAAGGCGCGCTTAATTCACAGCGGACACTTTCATGCGTATCTGCAAAGCAGAGTGCTAAACTTGCGTACTTCTATACCCCCTCTTCTTCTCTTTTTGATTTTCCAAACAATTCTTCTTCAATAATTAAAATTCGTTTGGACGTAACATTTCCACATTAGAAGATTTTAATTAATTTGCATATATTACTTATATTTATTTATTTATTTATTGTTTAATCAATAATAATTATTAAATAAGAAATATAAATTTAATTGTTGAACTCTTTAGATAACAATGCTTTTATTTACGAAAAAATTATAATGATAATAACATCAGTATTGGTTTACAGCTATATCGAGTCTGTATTGGTTAAAGAATCTGTTCTTAAAAATGGATATATTTAAGTAACATAAAGTAAAGAAATAAACAAAAGAAGGCATATTATTATATAAAACATATAAAAGTAAAATTTTGTTATATCTTTTAATTATCTTTTTGCTGTTAGCACCGGTAATTGAATCTAACTTATTGAAAGGCATCCTGGAAGAACATAGCATCCAACATTTCTTTTTTTATTATTAGATTTCACATTTTTAGATAATGTACAAGCAATGTATTTTTTTATTAAAATATATATAATAAAATTATTTTTCATAAAAATGATAGTTGCAACGTTTTTTAAATATTCAATTGTTTAATTTTATTAGCACTTATATACATATAAATGTTCGACACTTATTATACTTCGTCAATGATTGATTAGCAATTAAATATTTATGCTTCTTGTTTTATGTTTAATCTTTATGCTAAAAGAATGAATAAAGATTAGGAATCAACTAAAATGTATTTTTTTATTGCAAATCGATTCACTACATACACATTTCAACTTCTTATACATTATTTGTATACAGGATACTCCCCGATTAAGACACCAAATTTAAAATATGAATTTAGAATCTAAAAACAAACAAAATTTTCCTCTGAAAGTTTGCTCGTAAATGCTTCGTTTATAAGGAATGAATGTCATCAATTTTATATAAAAAATGTATGAAGTGTCCGTTAATGATCTTTATTATCATTTAAAAATCATTAAAAAATAGAAAATAATGCAAGCGTGCGAAGAAATTACTGACGCACAATGTCAATCATTTGACCTCTCGATCATTCGATAAGTTCAATGCTTGTCTCAAGGCTGAAAGCTCTCATTTTGAACAATATATTTAATAATTATGTTTTTAATATTGTAAATTAATAAAAAAAATAAACCTAAATTATCTTGACATTATTTATTTCTAGAGCTTTGTAACTTAAGAAGTCGATATCTCTTTATAAACGAATCGTTTGCAAGCAAACTTTAAGAGAAAACTTTTGTTTAAAATTTTAAATTTATATTTTAAGTTTAGCAGTTTAATCTAAAAGTACCTTGTAAATATACTTTCTATATAACTCTAAAGGACATTAGCAAGAAGTTATGGCCGGTCACAGCATTGTCGTTTAGATTAGCGTTGTCTACCGTCTATTATGCGCATTTTGCGCCACAATTTATATAATACCACAGCCAAAAGATTAAAATACATAAGTAGTATCATTTTTTAAAAATATTTTAAAAGTAATTGATTTTTATAAATGTAATAATAATGAATGTATAAATCATTATCAATAAAATCGAAGCTGTTAATGTTTATTAGGGTACATATTGAGCCGGATATTATCCTTCCCAAGGTTTATCCACGCAAGTAGAGGAAAGTTCGCCGCATTCCAAAGTACGAACCAAACAATGAAGTTACCGTATGCTTTTGCTAGTACTCTGACATAAGGTACAACTGAAAAAGACAGAGAACAAATTAACGTATCGTATTGATATACAATAAAATATCGTGCAAATATCTGTACAACACTTACGACACAGATAAAACATGAATTCACGGTATTTTGTAATGATCCAACTATACCACCCAATTTCTTTATCTAAAACATAAATTGTCTTTGTAAAATTAACAATTTAAATTTACATAATATATTATTAGTGCTATAATGAAGGCGAGTAAGTAACAAACATGTAATTTTGCAATAGTCGTTACAGCAAGTATTGTAAAATCAAATTGAAGTTTATATATAATATTTTTTGGTAATCCTTTCTTACAAAAAAGAAATATCTCAATTTGATTACTATATTTAAATAATTTTAATAAGTTCTGATCTAATCTAATAAAAATGATGATTTACCGAACTTAAATTTTTTGAAAGAACAAAAAACGGTATCAATTATCAGCAAAGTTATCGAAATAAAAATATATTTATAATGAAAAAGTGGAAATTGAATATACTTACAGGAGAGTCCATGTAATTTGTAAGTGTGTGTCATGAAAGCATCTTTATCCACAGTGATGTCAATGTACCACATTGCATCTAATGCATATGTCGTTATTTCATAAAACTCAGATGGAGGCTTTTTCAAATAATCTGCATATACTTGTTTGATCTTCCGACATAATTCCGTAGTTTCTCTTGCGTTTTTGCGACACAAATTCAATCTGTCGATAATGAATAATAGCTAATAAAATAAGAATTGTAAAATTGATATATATACACACACACACACACACACACACACACACACACATATATATATATATATATATATATATATGATATATCTCTGGTAAATTTATAAATCATAAAATTTTTAAAAAAAGAAAGAATATACGCCTATAGTATATAAAAAATGTCGTATATTACATTCTTTCTAAAATTAAGAACAATTTTTTTGAAATGATTTAAATATACAATTATTTAAAAGTTGATTGATTAAAAATAGTCGTGAAATTAATAAAATTAGCCAAGTTATTTTCTACTTATTTACTAGTTCAGATAACGTGTATATAAGAACAATTATTACGTTTTTGCTATCAAGTTTTCATTACATTGGTAACAAAAACCTGCGTGTAGAAATAAATTTAAATATTAGATATTTTAAATAATAAATTATGTAAAAAAGTTAAATTTCTAAACCTATTTAGTAAAAATCATTTATTATTATCATATGTATTACCTGTCGGGGATTCCTAACATGTAGCCATTTATACGCCAGAAATGATTAAATCCTTCATCTTCTTCCAGTGTATTGCACACTCCAAAAAGCTTAGGCGCAGTATAGATAAATGCCACAAAAGCGTATTGAGTAAGAACCATATCTCTTTGAGAAATTTCTCCAACACCAGCTTCCTTTGTTTTCCTGGTACCCATTTTGTGATACCAACGGATTGTGTTCATCGATTTGTACCATCTAGCAAATGTTGAGAGTTTAATTTATGCATATGTATATGTATCTTTTTGTATTAACAAGTTTAAATATTTAGTTAAAATTTTTAATGCTTGATATTATTTAAAAAAAAAATTCAAAAATTATTTTTTATACGCGATTTTAAATACCATTCTATATATCTAAATTTATATGACTTTTGGTAAGTCTTGATAATTAGATGTCTTTATGATGATTTTTTTTAATACTGTTACATTAGAAAGACGAAGAATTCTCTTTATTTTTAAAAATTTCTATATGAAATATTGATTTTTACTTCTTTATTTAAATAGATCATGCTTTTATCAGTATTGATAAAGTACAATTTAGTTTAATTCCGAAAAATAAAGGAATGTCTTTTTATTAGATTTATGTCGGTGACTTTCTTCTATTATTATATTTTGATCAGTTTTTAATATTTAATATTTGAAATAATTGATTTGATTTAATAAATATTTTAATCAAACGATATTCCAATTTAATCAAATTAAAATTAATTTGAGGAATACCAATTAAAAACCGACACTGGATAGATAAATATATGTGTAAATTATATGTATATACACATATATTATTACAACTATAAGAAACGTTAATATATACAGACGTTTCGATCCTTATTTTGGATCCTCTTTAGTGCAAAATTAAATTTTTTGAAGAATTGTGGAAGTCAATAAGAGATATTGCGTAGTCAGTATAAAATCGTCATAAATTGAGTATAAAACATAAGATGTTGTTCAAAGATAAAACAATTAATTGTTTTTAAAAAAATCAAACAACCGTTTTTAAAAGATTAAAATATAATAATAGAAGAAAATCACATAAAAAATGTAAATATAATGAAAGAGACTCCTTTATTTTTCGGAACTAAATATTACGACACTGCTTATTTTTAACTCTTACTTCGACATTTTCCTCTCTCTCTGCCTATTTTTAACTCTTGACTTCCACTTAAAATTTGATACTTTGAATATATGAAAATCAAGAGTTAAAAATAAGCCATGTTGAAATATTTTCGTAAAAATGTTATGCTCAAGCGACAACGTGTATTCTTTGAGACAGATTCAAGATTAAATTCACAAGTTTACAACAAGGTTTCCTAATATATACATGTATATTTTTATAAATTTATTATATTTTTGTATTGAAGACCCAAAATAAGGGTCAAAAAGACTCTGTATTATTAACGTTTCTTATTGTTATAATTTATACATTATCCATTCACTGTCTGTACTCTTTATTGGCATTTCTTAAAATCTATTATACTTAAAAATTATATTAAAAAAAGAATTTTAAAAAGATATATTGTCATAAATATAAATTTTATTGTTTATTGTATAATATTTTGTATTTAAAAATTAAGAAAAAATATAATAAATAAATGTCTACATCATCTATTTTTAAAATATTAGATATTTTTATTAGAAGCATGACATAAAAGCAAATGTTCAAAGTCTACAGTGCTTTGTGCGAGTGGTATGTAAAGAAAACACTTATTTATCATTTATTTGAATGCATATTTTATCTAAAATTTTTTGAAACATTAAAGAATATTTAAAATTTTTTAAAAATCTTACAAACAAATATTACACAAAATTTTGCATAAGAAAAATGTAATATTTGACACTCTTTATATGTTTGGAAATATTCTTGTAAATTGATATTACTCACTACAATACACAATATCATGTGTATGATTACATGTTATGTAATATATGTTATGTGATTAAGAATTAAAGAGATAAAATAAAGTGCAAATTTCATTGCGTTAATGCTTTTTCCATTTTGTATATAAAGTTTAAAGCTGTTTTGTGTATAATTTAAACTATAATACATAAAAATGTCAGTTCAAGAATAAATGACTGGTGATAGTTTTTGTATTATGAATAATAAAAGATTTAGCAAAATGAAAATATAAGTGAAAAATGGAGTAAACTTACTTGGAATCTGTATCATTTACATCACATGTATATAAGTTATGTACATGTAAGACAGTTTCGATATATCTTTTAAAAGCTGTACTAACTGAACTACTTCGTTTTGTGTATACAAGTATCTGTTAAAAAAATAAGAAAAAATAAAAATAAAAATCTTCGACGGTAAATGATATTTTGTTACTCTATATCTACTTTATTATTAACAATAAATTTTTTAATATTTAATATTCTCACAAATGTGTAGTACAACTATAATCCTCTATTTTCGTATTAAGATTACAGTTTAATCGAACCATGCAAAAGTAAAAAATTTCGATAACAAAAATTAGTATACTATATAAAAAATTAATATAAAAATAATTATTTATGATTATTTTTACTTTTAAAAATTTATGTTATTAATACTAATATTTTAATAGTAATATATATAACATTTTACCTTTAATATTGTGTCCACTGTAAATACTAAAACAAGTCCTACTGTGGTGGCCGCTATTACTGACATCAAATTTCGCTTATAAAAGTTTTGACCTCTATAATTAAATGTTAGATTTTAAAAATATAAAGCTGGGCGTTTAAAAAAATTATTGTATATAATTGGAATAAATATTTGCTTTACGTAAGCTACCTTGCATCAACACTTGTGTAACATACAGAATATCTCAAATTTTTAAAAATTTTTGAAAATTATTGATAATTTATTATATATATACATATATATGAAACTAAATATTGGGTTGTCCGAAAAGTTTGTGCGGTTTTTTTACAGGTGATATTAAAATGTGTATATCTATGTCATGCATGTGACTTTAACCTATAACATATATAGTATACATATTCTGAAAAGTAACATTGCGTTTTTCAAACATAAGCATAATTAAATCGATCAGTATTCATTTGAAAATAAGATGCATTTTCAATATTTTATGTTATTTTACTTCAAGAAAGGCTAGATAATTTCAAGAACGTTTAGACAACAAAAAAGATTTGTGCAGCCGTTCACGGAAATCGGGAAGTAGTAGCTGAAAGAACTAGATGTACAGAAGTGGTCCGCTTGCTTTAAACGTAATGATTTTAGTGTCGAAGATCAAAAATGCTCAAGTAGAACTTTAGTGGTAGATGAAATTACAGCACTACTTGAAAATAATTCACGTTACACGCGACACGAGACATCTCGGAGATATTCGACATATTCTCAGTTTAAACAGAATGATAAGAGAATATTAAGAATGATAAAAAAATGTGAATTTTAATTAAAAATCGCACGAACTTCTTGAATAATCTAATATTAAAAAATATAAATATTTATAAATATAAGTATTTTATTATAAATATTATAACGTAACACTAAGATTGAGAACATGCTTATAAACTCTATTTTTATTTTTGTAAATAATTTATTAATCTATTTTTAGTTTAATGTTTCGATTTATGTTTGACAAAAATATATTTTTCCTTCTTACTTTATGCATTATTATATTAATAAATATTATTATTAATATTTAAGATATTGCAAATTCAATATCTTCAATTAAGGAGAGAACTTACTCTTTGTACAATTTTTCATTGTACCAAGCTGGAAGATCATTGGGTGTTACGTCAGCTGCTTCCGGATCTATTACACTCTTATCTTCTTGGATTAATTTGAAATGTTCATCCACCGTCTGTGTTTGAACTACAATGCGCGATATATATTTATATACATAACAATTGAAAAATTATACAATAAATATTTCTATTTTTTTACACGTATACGCCAATTTGCAACACATTGGCAACATGTGTCTGTACTTTTTTTAAAATAATGGTTTATATTTTTTAAGTTGATTCTTCTATTAAATTTTGCGTAAAAACATTATGCTACCAATATTGAGAAATAAATACTTTGAAGAGAATATTTTACATTTTATATCCTATCATTTTGTAATCATATTGCTCGTCTTTTTTCTCCAAAGTTCAGTGACACTCAATATAGATCATTTTAAAGTATTTCTCTCACGCAAAGGATAGTAATATATTTTTAAGTTGTCTCTTAATGTTTGATGATTAAATTCGAATATTTTTTGTGTAAAATAAAGAGCAAAATTAATTTAAATATTGCGAAGTGTTATTAATTTTTATATAAATCACTTTTGAGTACATGTAGTTTTATTAATTATTCATGTTTGTTACTTTAAATTATTTTATTCTAATGACTAAAATTTATCTTAACAAATATGTAATTTTTAATAAGTATGTATATTCAAAACTTTAACGCGGCAATGTTTCATGTTGAGTGTCACTGAACTCTCACTGAAGGAGAAAGACGTACAATATAATTATAAAATGGTTGGATATTTTCAACGCTGGCTTCTCTGAGAGCAATCTGCTTTCACTCGATGTAATGTTATTTAGTACGAAAAATCAAGCAGTGAGCCGCGATCTTCTTCATTAAAATTTTAAATTTATTTTATGATGTATTTGTTCAGTATTTCTTCTAACTTTTCACATATTATTTAATAAAAAAGTGAATGTAATATTTTCAAAATATCTAAAAATGCCAAATACGACAATATTGCTATAATATTTTTGATGCTAATTGAAGTAAAAGAGACATATCATTTTAAATTATAATAGCTAACAATAAGATTTATTCCTTAAAACTTATATTTAGAGCCATTACTCCGATTAGAAACTATTCTTGTGCCACGTGTGTTTAACCTTCACCATATTAACTTCACAAAATCTTCTCTTACCATCGTCGATATGTTTTGTCTTCATTTCACTATTTTGTATATTTCTATTAAAAGTCACAATCAGCGAAAATTTTCGCCGTGCTGAAAACGCACTTTATACGAGATTACGATTTACGTCTTTCGTCGGAGCTCAGATCGGAGCACAGTGCGTGTGTTCTTGCCGAGAGAACTAGCTTGATACTGAAAACGTCTGACCGGTGTGACGCTCAGCGTCCTTCACTGGCATTCACATTCCCCTGCTGCAGGCAGGTGCGTTGCGATGCTCTTAATGTGTTGTTTCCTCTTGCTACGTCTGCTTAATTTGCTAAGGTTTTGTAATCTATCCTTGAATTTTTATTGTAATATTATCAAATGTAACATTCTTGATTTTGTGTTCTCTGTATTCCAAATTATGTTACTGCTATACTTTTGTGTAAAGTATAGATTTTAACATACTAAAATTAAAAATATTATTAATTAAATAATATTTTATAGCATTTCTAGTTGATTTAAATTTATTTTGGAATTAGAGTTTCTTTAATCTTAGAATATTTGAGAACATCTATGTATATATAAACAGATAACCTCAATGTCATACAAATTATAATCGATAAAATTATCTTAATCCGAAATTAAACAATCAATAATATATATAATAAAATAATTCACACAAGATGAAATTTTAATCTTTATTAAAAACTTATTTTCTTTGAAATAGAAACAGAAAAAAGACTAATTTATAAATTCATTATTTATTATATATATTAGTATAGTTGTGTGTGTGTGTGTGTAGGTATATGTATATGTTTATATGTATACAGATATACATATATATGTATATAGATATACATATATATCAATATTAGTCTATAATAAATAATCAATAGGTAATAGAACTCTGTTCTATTTCGAAGAAAATATGTTTTCAATACAGTGTAATCTTATCTTGTATGAATCATTTTGCTATATCATTGGTTACTTAATTTTTGATTGAGATAATTTTATCAGTTTAATTTTACACACTATAGTCCAAAATATAATTTTTGAATATCACTTTTGGAAATTCAATTCTGTGTATTAATAAGTCATTAATAAAAAAATTAAACATTATAATATTAAAATTAATTTAATGTTGTATTATAATTACTTTTACGAAATTTATTTTTAAATTTATTTACTTTTATATTTTGAAAAATAATCTAGTAGCTCCACTAGAAATAATTAATTAAATAATGTTGTTTAATATATGACTAAGCATTTCTCGCGGAATATATACAGCTGATAATGTAAATAACAATGCTATAAAATAGTATTATCAGTTGTATATATTCCTTGTCATAAACAATTGTCATACATCGAACGATTCATTAATACATGGAACTGAATTTTCAAAAATGACATTCAGAATAAGATTTTGATAGAGTCTATCGTATAACATTTAAATATATACAATAAAAATTCACTATAATATAATTATCTAAAGTTAAAGATTATTTGTCCGTAAGAATATTAATAAAAACACTCTAAAAATTGGAGAATGGTGTAAAAGTTTATTTTTATTTCAAATTATTTATAAATTATACATATTCTAATATAAAATACTATCACTTGCTTAGTCATATGGTATATCGAACGGCGTTATAAAATTATTATAAAAAAATAAATAAGTATGTATTTATAAATAATGCATCAAAAAACAAATTAATATTAAAAAAAGATTCAAAATAAATGTCTTATGAGTTTATAGTCGAGTATTTCAAAATCAATAGCATTTTTACAAAAAAAAAATGGTTTGAATTTTCACTTTCGAAATTAAGATAAAGCGTTTAAAACAAACTTAGATGATAAAAGTAAGTTGTTTTATCATCTAAATTATCATCTTTTCTTCTAGTAATATGTCTGACAAGATTTTAATAATATAAAAAATTTCGCGCGTAGTAAAGTACTGTATGCAAATTTTTCAAATGAAAAATGAAATCATCGAATGATTCACGGCCATTACAGTATAAGTCGTTAAACATAGCACAATAGTTATATGTAAGCACTATACCTATATAAAAAGAAAAAAAGAGAGTAATGTATATAAGTAAAATTATATATATGTATATACGAATTATACGATCGTATTTTTAATATAATATGATATGTGAATTTTTTTTCCCGAGTGATAACCATGCTAATACGGGCCATTTCTTCACAAGCCACAATGTAAATAGAAGTACGTATTTGTAATAAAGTTTTACTATTGCTCCGACATATGGTATAACTGAAACAGACAGAAGAGAGCGAATCAACATGCAGATTATTATAAAATATAATAATTGCAAATAAAATAGGTGATTGAATCTATGCAACACTTACGACAAAGGTAAAATATCAAAGCGCGATATTTAGCATTTAATTGACTGTACCACCCAAGCGGCCGATTATCTGAAATGTAATAATCATTTTATTGAATATATTACTTCTTTTCTGAAGCAAAATTTATTAAATAATGATTATTTATATAGTAAAATTACTTAGTAATTTATATATATTTATATTAAAAAAATATAAATTTTCTAATAATTATTGCAAGAAAATAGAATAATTTACATCTTTTTTTTGCCGCGATGTAAAAATTGAACGTTAGAGTATAAAAAAAAAACATCTTCATTAAGTATACAAGATATTCAACAATATATTCATCATACATAAATAATTAATAATAATTACACGTTTATAGACTTTATAATATTTCATCACGTTACTGTAATAGTGCTGGAATATTCCACGCTAATGTTTATTTGTATAATAGTAAAACCTTTTTGAAAAACTTGATTACTTAATATTTATAAGTATATATGGTTTGTCCCAAAAGTAATGAGATTATTTTTGACGCCAATCAGAATAGTCGAAAGGTGAATTCACTAGACGGGGCCTTTGATGCGGAATGTTATAGATATACAGTCTGATCCTTCCCAGTTGTCACCGAGCCTTTCTAGCAATTGATATCTTCAGTAAAATACGTTGTAATTTTTGTGTCTTGTCATAATCGAAAAATTCAGCAATCTCGAGCAGCAATCAAATTCTGCGTGAAACTGAGAAAATCTGGTTCTGAAACGTTGGAGATGTTGAGAACAGCTTACGGAGGTGCTGATTTGTCTTCAGAATTCGATCGCGTAACGCTGCTCAAAACAGTCTGTGCTGAGAATTTTCGTGACAAGACACAAAAATTACAACGCATTTTGCTGACAGTATCGACTGCTAGAAAGGCTCAGAGGTAACTGAGAAGTTAGATTGTATACCTAACATCCTACACCGAAGACCCTGTCCAATGGATCTACTCCCTAACAATTCTGATTAGACCCCTAAAAATAGTCTTATTACTTTTGGGACAGATCTATATATATATATATATATATATATATACATATATATATATTTTTTTTTTAATTTAAGAATAATAAAGAATAATATTATTTTAATAAGACAAATAAAATTTAAAAAAATTGATTTTTTTATAAGAAAATGGCAGGAATAAAATTAATTTATCTAATTTTTATTTAAATATATTATTATTTATAATCTCTTTAAAATTTTTTTCTTTAAAGAAGAAATAGATGCAGTTTTACTTAATCAATATCTGATATATTTGATAAATTTATGTGAGTAATTAAAATTAATATGAAATACTTACATTCTATACCATGCAGCTGATAGGTAAATTTTAGAAAAGCATGTTTGTCTAAAGTTATATCAATATACCACAATCCATCTAATATGGCTGATGCTATGTGATAGAATTCGGATGGAGCATTATTCAAATATGCTGCCAAAACATCGGATACCTTTTCACACAATTCGCGAGTTTCTTTTGCGGTCTTGCGACATAGATTTAATCTATAAATAATGACGAATAATTAATGAAACTAGTGAAGAACTAATATACATATGTTGATCAATTTTATTAGTTATATTAGAAATTATATAATAATATAATGAAAAATTGTGTTTGTGTGGACACGCTGATTTTTGCCAATAAAATATACTTTTAACGTTGTTGTAGATTACCGATCGGGAATTTCCAACATGTGACCTATCACACGCCAAAAATGATTAAATGCTTCTTCTTCTTCCTTCTTAATGCACAAGCCGATAGATTTCGGAGCTATTAATACGTAACCCATGAAAGCAAATTGCGTAATTGCCATGTCTCGTTGATAAATTCCACCGACATCAGCATTCTCTGATCTCCTACTACTCGTCTTATGTTTCCGGTGAATTACATTTATTGTCTTATATAGGCTAGTAAAATATAAAAATTCAAAAATTCATGTAAATGTCGAGTTAAATGGAAAATTCGTTTCATTTTTTGCTAAGCAAAAAATAACATTAATATAAATACAAAAACGGAATAAACTTTTCGTTCAACTAAATATTTATTTCTTATAATAGAAATTTAATTTAGCAGTTTGACGTAGAGGTAAAAATAAGAAATAAAGTAGATTCAAGTATAATTATATGGTTATACAGGATGTCCGGAATATCGTTCGGGAAATGATTCAGGACCCAAAAAGAAGGAAAATAAGCTATGTAAACGTAGGTCCAAAAATAAGTCGTTTCCGAGTTATAGTCATTTTTATGTTAAAGAAAAATCATAATTAAGCGAATTATACCTCCGCGTGATGCATCCTGGTTAACGCCAGAAGTCGGAAATGAATTAATTTCTGTTAAAAAACTATAAAATAAATTATAATTATTATTATGACTATGAAAAATAAATTACAATTTTTTATAAAGTTACTATAATTTGGAAATAACTCATTTCTGATCCTGTTTATATAGCTTTTGTTCCTTCTTTTTGGATTCCGAACTTCAAGAAGTAGTGTGAATTTTCGGACACACTATAGAAGATTAAAAAAGTAAAGCGGGCTCGAGACGTCAGCAGAGTAAAGCTTTTTATAAACATTACAGATTACAGATATGAATTGATAAGAAGTAAAAAAGTTTATCTCTCTGAAGCATTCCATTTTAAGAAGCAGCAAAGTAAACGTACCAGTGACTGGACATGTATATATATGGGGACACGTACACAAAAATTGATATTATAATATGGTTTTTTATTATAATATTCAAATTTAATTGTAAAAATATTAAAAAATTACAATTAAATTATAATATTATGAAAAAAAGCATTAAAAATTACTTAATAATAAGTTTTTATGTACATGTTCTGATATAGATACATGTCCAGTCACTAATATGTTTACCTTAAAAATTGAAATTTTAATATAAAAATAAGATAAAAATGTTATGCTACGGATTCCGATGTTAAAATTAAAAAATTTTTCACGTATATATCGCTTATCTCTTTCTCTCTTTCATCTCGTTCACAGAAAATAAGTAAAAATTAGAATACAGAAAATGCTATAGCAAGTAATTATGATGATAATTAAAAATAATAATAAATGTCTTGAATAATAAAACCTAGTAAAAACAGAAATACATGTAAAAGGCTTCGATAAAACTTACTCAGAATCCGGGTCATTTGGATCACATGTATACAGCTTATAAATATGCAGAAGAGTTTGAGTATATCTGCTGAAAGTTACACAAGGCGTACTGCTTCTTCGTGTGTATCTGAGCACCTATTAAGCAATCCATAAAACACATTTTTAGACATTCATTTGATAAATAATATTATAGTAATTTTTTCGAAGCAATAATTCTATGTTATGATATAAAGTCATTAAAATTATTTTATGATTCCTATCTTAATGTTAGAATTATTGCAATATAAAGCAGGAAAGATCTTCTCTTCATTCCTTCATGAAGTTTTATTTATAGGTATTCTGTTATTTATAACTGATACATGTACATACACATTTCGTGTTTGTAAAAACAATTTTATTATAAAAAATAGAGAATTTTATTACCCTTAATGTTTCTGGGACTGCTATTATTGCAAGAAGTCCGGCAAAGCTAGCTAGTACCATTGATATCATGTTTTGCTTATAATAATTTTGAGCTCTGAAATAAAAATATGTAGTTCTTATAAATTTTATATGAATATTACTGAAATATTATTGCTCGTGTTATTAATGCAATTATTGCCCAGAAAGATTAAAAATTTCTGTAATCTATTGAGTATATTAGAATTTTATAGATTTCTGAATATAGGTCACTATTACATTTGTTATACCTGTCATAAAAATGTTACTTTAAGCTTGAATAATGTAATATGATTGCGTATTTATTTCATATTTATTATTACAGCTGATTATTTTTTCTCTTGCATATAAGGAATTGTAGGTTATATGTTGTAATTGGTTACACTGTTAACATTATTATTTAGTTATACTACAATTATATTATAGTTTCAACATTTGATGTTACGTAATACTTACTCTTTAAATAATTTTTCATCATACCAACTTGGAAGGCCATTGGGTGTTGCATCGGTGAGATTTGGATTGATTATACTATCATCTTTCAACAATAATTCTAAATGTTCGTCTATTGTCGACGTTTGAACTGCGAATAAATATTGCGTTTGAATGCAAATGGTATGCAAATATTTGTTTTTAAATAATTTACTTATAAAATTTTAAAATTCCGCAGTCATATAAAAGTCAAGTTAAATTTTTTTAATAGAACCCTTTATTTTCTTGCATATTCTTGTAGCTTACTGCAAGAGTTTTCCGAAACACTATAATAAAATATATATTTTTTTAAGTACATCTCGTGTTATACAACTTGAAATTTACATGATCGTCGACATTGGTATTCACATTCCAAGTTGAATAACAGTTAAAATCTTTAGAATGTTGTTCAGAATCGTGGCCTTGATAACGTTAAGGCCACGATATATGTCAAAGGTAAGGCATTGCTTCTCTTTTTATAACTTTTATAACATTTGTCAAGGCGTTGTCCCTCTTTTTATCAAACAATAAAAATAATTTAAAAAAATTAAAAGAGCAACAACCTCTAATGGTCTCATAATTTTGACCAACATTCAAAAGGTTTTAGCCGTTGTTCGGACACTTTGGCTGATGCTAATGCCGACGATATTATAAATTTCAAGCTTTATAACTCGAAATGTATTTAACAAAAAAATTTAATATTTTATTATAATGTTTTGGAAAACTCTTAAAACTTTTTATTGTTACAATATTTAGCCACACACAACGCATTTGACTGCGCGTCGCATTTTTGTTGGTCTTAAAACACAGTTCTTATAGACGGCCAGAATCGACTGTAACGAATTAAATTGACGAGCAATTTAATATTTTTATGCTAACAAGCATCTATAAGAATCTACACTTTATCTAGTCTTACAACTTCGCTTCTTACATATTTTTCACTACAGATGATCGTTTTCGAGATATTTTAGCGTTTCCGCACTTTTTGAGGATCCTCTATGTATCTTGTTATTTTTTCATTTAATTATTTAATTTGACACGATTGCAATATTGTGTACATACGTTATTTTTATTGGACATATAGTATTTCGATCACGAAACTTTTAATATAGTTGAACTCTTAATTTCCATATTATATCTTTTACATCACTTTAAAATTTACATTTTGTAATTTAGGTCTACATTCTAATAGCAATTAATAAAATTATAACATGACAATTTTCTTTATTTCGGCAGATATTTACCATCGTCGATATGTCTTTCTTCCATCTTTGCTTCCACTGTTTAAATCAGAACTGAAAAATCACAACGTTAATATAATCTTTATTACTCTTACGAAATAAGAGAATTTTTTCTGTTCAAATGCAAAACGTAAGCGTTTTTATTTTACGTTATAATCCAAAACAACTCGTTCTTAATTGAATTAATTTGAGTTTATTTAATTAATAAAGACGAGACGCGACACATGTAGTTCTATTCACTTCAAAGACTTCAGCAACAATGCTACGGATTGCTCTTCGTGACAGCTTTATTGAGTTCACAAGCCAGCAGATTTTTATGGCGTAAATAAGGGAATGATGTTTTTTTCCGTGCCTGGTATCGATAGTCTCGAACGTCATATACAACTCAATATGAGATATTGTCGAGATATTGTCGAGATTTCCTATGAAATGTTTTGTTTTATAAGCGACTATCACAGATCAGGGTTTTCCCGTTTTGTCCACAAAACCCATACGTCACTAAACTGAGTCATCAACTGTTTTGACTATATGACCTATGGTCGCATCTCCTAAATTTCTTATAATCTCATTTCCATAGATATTGATCGAAAGTTAACATCACAAGATTATAAGAAGTGGACTGTGTGTTTTTAAAAATGATGAACAAAATATAAAAATGGCAAATCTATATATATCCAATAATAAATTAACAGTTATTGAGAACAGACAATTTTTTTAATAAAATTATACGAAAAATTGCGGTTAAAGAATTCTTTGATTACTAACGAACAGATGTGATTAGCATTCATAAATTTTTGCTTCTTAATTCTATAATGGCATATTAGAATACTAATTGTAAGTTAGGAAAAATTTATCTCTTTAAAAGGCTTAAGAGAAACACAAGTGCTTTGATAAACCGATGCAATTTTATTTAGACGTTACGCGTATATGTTACATAATTGCACATAATTGTACGTTAAATTTAAAGCTTAAGACTTAAGTAGTTTTTGCATACGTTATAAGTAGTATCTAGTAGCGTATGCAAAAACTAATTAATTATTCAAATAATAGAATAATAAGGTAAAGATATGGCTATGGTTTTATGAAAATTAATTTTTCTGATTAATATAATCAGTTGTAAATAAATTATGAGTAATACTTTTATGAGGTGTAATAGGCATAAAGAAATTGAGAGCACAAGTTGCGAACTATTGAGAAAACAGTGAAAGATTTTATTATATTAATACTAATTATTCTGGGACAAGGTGTTGAATTACAGAAACATAAATTGTATAGAGAACAATTGCGTGTATAATTATCGTACACATACATTACGTTAGCATATTTCTGTAAAGGATAGTAACGTGCATCTGTTTTTCGAAGGAGATTGTTGGACTTGTTTTTACGTTTTAAAATTGTTAATGAATATAAATTAAGCGTATCTTGAAATATTATAATTTATGATTTGAAATCTAAAAGTAAGTGGCTTAAATATGCATATGTCACAGATTTCTATACTATAGATCGCTAACTAACAAAGTGGGGGTAAGATAAATTGAAGCCAAGGCTATACCGTCATTTGAGACACGGAAAAATCGTACCAACTTCATAGTGCATTCTTTTATGACATATGAAATAAATATATAAAACATAACTAACTTTAAATTTGTCATATAATTTGACTATTATGTAATATATAATAAAAATAAAATTATAAAATAAAGTTAAATAGAATAATTAAAATGTATTGTCAAATATACCTATAGAATATTAACAAATTTGATGCTACACTTACGTAGAAAAATAGTGCTTTACTTGTGTAATATGTCATATAAGTTTTATTAATAAATATTTATTTTTCGATTTTTGTAAAATGTTAAAACTTTACTTTCCAAATATGTTTTGTATATGAAAAATATGAGTATTTGACGGAAGTATCGGCAATTTGTAATGCGGATAATATTAATTGGTGACTTTACTCCCCACTACCTAAATTAGCGATCTAGTATGTATTGAAATCTGTGACATATGTACATACATACAAATTCATTGTTAATTCAACATTTTATAAAACAAGAAACATATGTATATACAATTTACTTATTATATTAAATATTGATTTAATTTTGCAATGTAGATATTCGTATTGCGAAATTTTGTCTATATATATATTACTTTTGTTTATATCTACATTACAAGTTGAGTTATCATATCTTACGTTAATAAAATTGTCAGAAAATTTGCTACCAAGTACAATAAAAAATAATTTCTTTCTTTCATTCAACAACATAATGTAGTATCATTAATTATTGAACGTAAATTGTAAGATGTTCAAAGGTCAAACATGTTTCGTTATCTTAATGCATTCATAAACGGCCGTTTCTGCATAAATATACTGTGCTGCAAACACTTCATCACATTTTTTATCTTCTTCTAAATCATTAATCATGCTGTGTGAATATTATTATAATTAATACATGAATTTTAATATAAATACTCTTCAGATTTAATATAAATTAGAATGCAATTTACATAAGTTACCATTTACTCGCACACGCACACAACACACACGCACACATGCGCGCGCAAGCATTTTAAGGTATATTATATTTTTTGATTGAATGCAAAATTGTTGTATTCTTCTTAACTACTTTCTTTTTTCATAAGCATTGCATATACAATATTGTTACGCTCGCGCTCACTGTTGCACTCGCGCCTGCGGCAAAGATACTTGCGAGCTCGCGCGGAAAAGAGCAACACACTCGATTACAAAAGAATTGCAATGATTTATTAACACTTAATACACCAAAGAGTAAATGTCAAACTCGCGTTAATCTCAGAGTCCCGCCAAACAACACGTTGCTAAGGGAGCAACTCTCCCTTGTCCGCTTCCGCGGACGATTTCAGTCGGCGCAACTTATGCTCGGCCGACACCGCGAAGCACGGGCGTAACAATATATTTAATGTTAATTTAATATTCTATAAAATAAAAAAATTAATAACACTTTACATATATTTACATATTATATAAATTATTTATATGAAAAATCTCGTCATTAGATTTTCGCGCAAATTCAGTACTTGTTGTATGACTGGTAGACTTTATTACAAATGAGTCGAAACTTCTGTAGCTTGAATTGTGATCTGTTAGCTCAGTTTCTCTCCAATATTTTCTTTTATGAGTCTTGTACATCTCTCGTTTCTTTTGAATATCTCGAAACACCTCGCGAATCGGTCGTGAATCAGCAGCTTGTTTCAACTCATATATAAATACCAGTGTAGATGCTAGGAGGCCAACGATGAGCGCTGAAAATCCGGCACCTAATGGTGTCAGTCCGAGGGTTATGTAACTCGTATTGAGACCATCGTATTCCTTGACAACTTCGCGAAGACTAAGACTGGCTCTTCGGTGAATAACGTCGCTGAGATGAAAGCGAGCAATGCCTGACTCCTTCAACCAGAGCGTTACCTAAAAAATAAAAAAATTTTAGAATATAAGAAAAAATGTTCCGGCGATAGCACGTCTATTGCGTCAATTTTCTTATCAATATTTATAATTGAAATGAAAAAAATTATAAACAATTTGATCTTTGTACTTCGAATAATTTATCATAATCTTTAATATATCGCTTTTAGCAATAATATTTATATTAAAGAACATTAAAAATATTTAGGCTTAAATGAAATAAATCAAAGACTAAGAATAAAGTTAATATAAACCGACACTGGAAAGTGTGTGTATAAAGATATACGTTATTAGATAGATACAATCAGAAATGACGTTTTGATTCTTATTCGAATCTTCTTCAGTACAATGAATAAAGACGGAATGACTACTAAAGATCTACATTATGAGTTCTACATTATTCGTAGTAAAATGAAGTGTCATCAAATTGTTATCTTATCTAAATTAAAATGTCATTGATTGCTTTTTAATGTTTGGAAAAACACTTAAGCAGCGAAATCACAAGCTGAAATTATTATAGATGTCAAGATGACTTCGCAAAATGGCAAATATTAATGTAACATGTGTACAGTTCGAGATGTAGTGAACTTAATTGTGTTTACGTCAATCATATAAAATTAATATCTTGAGTGTTCTTAGAAAAATCTTGTAAATATAGTTGTAAGTAAAATATCTTTTGCGGTTGATAGGTACATGCTGACGATAATAACTGTCTGTGTATTATATTACCGTGTCAATAGGTCGTAACAGCCACGGTTGGACCGCAAAGGATGTATAGTAGTTGCCCACTTTTTCTTTCATGATTCTCTGACCCTTACAAACATAATTTGCAGTTTTATTTTTAGTACAGGCTATCTTGTTTAGTATTTTAAATAAAATTATTTTTGTATTTTACTTTAACATGATCGTTGAAGATTGCATCATCAGGAAAGAAGATCGAGTCTACGATTCTCCCGAAAATTGCAAATTTCTTCTGCTCAATTAATTTATATACATATTCCTCTTGACCAGTCACGCGTATATATCTCGTCGGCATCTGACTCATGTAAGGATCCTGGAGACATATACATTTGTCGTCTAATTGTCAATAGTAGGAAAAAATGACCGTTCACATAAATTTTACGTACATTCAAGTCAAAGTAGTCAGACCAATATGGCTCTTCCCCCAAATGACCCCACGATAAGTTAGCTTCAAGAAATTGACGTACCGTATCGATTCTATAAATAGTATACATATGCGATTTAGATATCCTTTATTTTTAATTAAAATAAATATAAATGAGTAAATAATATTATATAATTACACCCACACATACATTTTTATACGGTGTCTACAAAGTTTGTCCTTACTTCCTATATTTTAGAAACGATTCAAAATTTAAAAAAACCACGAAATATTATACGTATTTAATTATTTCGAAGAACTACTTTTTTTAAAAAGATTAGCCCCTTAAAATAATCGAATATGTAGGTACATGTATTTTGCAGTTTTTCATAATTTTAAATTCTTTTTGAAATAGAAATAGATTTTGTAGACAATCAGCTGTATATGTTATATATATATATATATACATATATATATATATATAAACTGAAAAACGAATTCTTCTTATTGTTAATAATAATTGTACGTTTTTTTTTTTAAGAAGCGCAAATAATAAAGGGAGAGTCAAGTTAATGATAAATTATTTTTTATTAATTAAATTTAAAATAAAAATTTAAAGATATTGTAGAAATTGTTGCTACCTGTCCTCATATTCCAAACTTGTAAGTCTTGCTGCAAGACTGCTACAGTATGCAGTTACTAACAGAAATCCTGTAGTTTGCCATAAATGCAATTCGAACCTAGCATTCGCGGTATTTCTCGGCATCCACGCACCCACTAAACGACCGATCAATTCCGTAATCACACCGAAAATGCTCCGAAAACCTAAAAAGGTATATTTTATCTAACATTTTCTCATACATCATATTTTATCTACATATTATATTAGTATATCACAATGTGCACTTATATAATTGGAAATTTTTTATTGTTTTGAAAAGAAGAATGAAAAACAAGATAAGAAAAGAATTGCTTGAATAAAGTATATAATTTTTTATGTCAAAGCATACAATCATATGATAAAATTTATAGCCGCATTAGTTCTTGTATCTTAAATCTTATCTTAAATCTATGCATGAAGCACTTGAAAAATAGTAATTCCGATTGTTTGATGTTTGTAGCATATTTAGAAAGTCAATGTTTGCATTTATAAACTATAGAAAGATTCAAATTGCATACTATTCTGCTTTTGATCGTTGGTATGATACGATAAATATTTCTAACTTACGTTTTGGAAATTTCGGATCAATTCTAGCACGTGTATACATATATATGCTTTCAACGAATAACATGACTATTACAAGAATCCAACATTCTATTGAGAAAGGTCTTGTAAGCGCCCAGAAATTGGTGACTGGTTGTGGTCGCGGTACCAAAAAATGTATAAACATCTGAATCCACGGTGTGGTCATATTTACGAATTCGTTGTGATTCTGCGTTAACCAGATACTTCCGAATGCTAAATCAATCTTTACAAGACCAAAAATTATTTTAAAAATTAATTTATTATCTTAATTATATTTAAAAAAAAATTTCTAATATATTTATAAACAGATATATTTAAACAAATAAGTATTACTTTTATTATATTATTAACTTTGATTGCCAATAAGTTGATTTCGACATTAAACTTAATAAACGTAATGATTTTTTAAATATTTTGTTTTTTAAAATTGTACTATATTTATATTGTTCCTTTAATGTCTTAAATACTTACAATTACTAAAAAATTATTCTCAATCGATTTAATAAAATCGTCATTGATAAATGATTGATGGAAGTCTTGTGAATTTTACGTGTCATTCAAACAGGGGTAATATGACAGTCTTAAAGTGTCAATTATTTCAAAAATTAAAAATTTCGTTTATACATATAATGCTTATAAAACTTATATTACTTTAATTCGAATAATTATACCTTTTTCTCTTGTACAAGTTGGATGACGCCGCCACCATAATTTGTGCCATTTACGCGCCGACCGTACCTAAAAATTGACTTTTCTAAGATAATTATTAATTAATTAATATTTTTAAGATAATTTCTGTTTTTCACATATTAATATAAAGAATACGCTTACCTTTCCTCTCCTGATATCTTGTGTATTGTCCAAGTAAAATTCAACTTTTCCGCTATGACCAGAAACAGTTTCATTTCTATTCCATCCTTTTCATTATCTGTAAAATATATAAACATGTCGCGTTACTGCTTTACTTTTACGATTGTTCAGTTTTTTATAATTTTATTCATTTTTCTTTTTATTAACGCCTAATAAATATCTTAGAGAGATACTATTATTTGCTAGTATATTTTAGCAATAATAATTAGGGACGAGATTAATTATCAGTTAAAATAATTTTATTTACCATTATCTGCTAGGAAGATCTCTTTCTCAACGCCGTTAATTATTTTCTTCGTTGTTTGATTGAGGTAGGTAAAGGGTGGCCGATAAAAGGTACATACTTGTAGTTCTCTACCTCTCATATTAACCGTAGTGAATTCAGACATGAGCTCCTCGTAACTGTAATTTACGCCATTCAAAGTATGTAACATGTTTGTTTAAATAACATTTCATCAATATAAAAAACGGAATATTTGCAATTAATGTTTGCACTCATAATTTACAAGAAGGTTCGTAATGCAAACATGTGGAATTGTTACAAAGATTATATAGGTACTTACCTGTTTACTTTTAGAAAAAATCTTGGTTCCAAATAGTTTTCCGATAAGGTCCAAATTCCGGATCTTGATACAATATTCGCATTGGAATTTCCGTATAAAGAGACATTAAAAAGTTTCGAAGTATTTTTCAATTCACCATCGATGATGACAAGAATTTCAGTCGTTGAAATGGACGAAGGTACTCTACCGAAAATATATGTTGCACTTGCATTTTAGAATAATATGATTTTAATTTGATTAAATAGTCATTTAGCTGTTACATTTCACATTTATCTTTTATTCACATTTTACATTAATATATTATTTAAATTTGATTATATTGTCATTTACATAATTATTATTATTTAAAAGATTAATAAGATTTATATCTCTGTTTTGTTTTACCTTTGCATAATCTGTTCTATTTCCTTATCCCTCGATCCCAGCAAGAAATATCCTTGACAGCCATACAGCATTCTATGTAGAAGATATTCGTACGGATAAATATTGACAAATTGATGAAATAGTACTTCCACGTAAATCGAGTCTGAAAGAATAATTACTTTACAGGCCGTACGGTATTTCTTTGAGATAAAATAGGTGCGCGCATACGAACCACTTAAAAAAATATTGCAACATTTGGAGTAGAGAAACGATTTCTTAACCATTGTCGTAAAATTTTCGGTTGAAATCCAGGATTCCACTTTGAAATTCTTCATAATATTTCTCTTGTCAGTTAATACCGGAATAATGATGAGCGATAAAACACCAAGTATTGAATTCACTTTCATGATGTGTCATTATCAAGAAAAGTTATTACAGTTTAAGATGCAATCTTTATGCAAGTAATCGTTAACGCTAATTCCAAGAGTGATAAACAACCAGTTGCGTTCGGAAATTAATAATATCTAGAGTATCTCGTAAGTTAATAAACGTTGCATATGTATTGCATACGTACGTAATGTTTAATTTTCAGTCATTATCTACATGTCTCATTATCTTTGTAGTCGAACTGTTATTTAGAACTTCTCAGAATAATAAACAACACTGTTAAGATACACTGATTACATCACGCAAATCAACATATTATGTAAGAATTTTTTTTTAAACGAGACACTTAAATAAGAATTAACTTTTTTTTGCTGGAATATTTAACTAGAATTAATTAGAGTTATCAATGGTTTGATATTGAGTTAAATATCCATTTGAACACACTTAATTATAATTAAGTTAATTAATATCAATTGAAGTATGAAGTCGACTCGTTCGATCATAATTATCTGCCACAATAAGTTCCTCGAAAATTCGTTTTTTTTTTTCAGATTGTTACACTCAAAGGCTGTTACGTTAACCGAGTAAGTCTGGCATGAGAATGAGAGTCGGACTTGGTGAGTTACTCGAAATAAAATTGTACGTGGAATGGTGTCTGTACGTTCTGTGCGTGCAGTACCCACGTAGCCTTCGTGTACAATGAGACACTCGGGGTGCAATTTGACAGCAGATAACTACCTCGATAGCGAACCCTGAATAAACACGTAGCTACCACCAACGTCGTTGACATAAGTGTAATTACGCGGCGAATAAAAAAACGTGCCCGCAATTATCTCACCGCGTTATACGTCGCCCGTGGCGCTTAATTGACGATCTATAAAAAATTGACCTGATAATGTACTTTGTGATGACAATAACGAAGCTAAACACGTGGTGAATTCATTACTATTATCTCGACAAGACGAGGGTTGTAACAAGTTGTTGCGAGATGTCCTTGGTCCTATACCGATTTACGTGAGAGATACTTGATGTTTAGCGTTTATGTGCAGCAATAAATAATGATATTCAATAAAATATGCATCAATAACTCTCTAAACATAACGTTTTGTATTATGAAGATTTACGATAATACATTTACATGTTGTTAAGGCTCCAATGTGTAGTTATTTATCGTAACGATCTCATCATAGATATCGATAATGAAGAGATCGTTTTGCTTAGATAATTATCATAATTAATAATTGTAATAATTGATTTAACTATGTACGATTTAATCTATCTAAATTAATTAAATTAGTTATATAAAATTAATTAATTAACATTAATGACATTTGGATGCAAGAATCCTTTGGAGATCTTAATGAATGTCTGCTTTTGAATGTTTTCATGTAGCTAAATTAATTATTTTAATAGCACTCAATCAAACACTCAACGCAAATGTTTGATATGTCAAGCAGATTTGTGTTTAATGTTATCATTAGATACTGCTACTTGCTGATTAACATATTTTCATTGTCGTAGCGTTCTATCCAGAAGAAATGCACTTGATGTCGTCTCATTTTCATAAGTCATAACAAAAGGGAAATAAAACAACTCCCCGGTGTGTCATATGGAACAGTTCATTTATAACCACAAAAAGATAAAACACGCAAGGTTACACATTTTATTTAACAGATATATTATATTTAACAGATATTTCTGAGAGAGAGAGAGAGAGAGAGAAATGGCACACCATAGAAATGTGACGTGACAACAATAACGATTATTATATCTTAACGTGTTCATACTCGAGTCGTCATAAATAACAATGACATGCAGGAATATTAGTAACTCGTTATCGCGTGCATCCCTAGTTGCTTTGCGATCAAACAGTTTCCACTGATGACTTAATAATAGCCGTGTACTAACGATTTGCGAAAAGGCACGTGGCTATCGGAGTGAATAAGAAACGAGCTTCTATTAAATAAGTCGTAATATCTTGAGAAGAGATATAGATAAAAAAAAAATATATTGATCATTCTTTTAACACTGCGAGAATTGCTCGCTGAACAAAGTATGAAGTCCATTTGAATCACCCGCCGTTGAAGCGTCATTCATTATCAATTCCTATCAAGTTACGTAATGCACGTTCATGCTAAATCATTGATGAGACGTCGCTGCTGTCGTGTCTTGTTGCCATCGCAAGTGTTCTTCTGTAATCTAACATAAGTTTTTCTTTTTCTTCGCGAAAGAAATTTATTTTCTAACACTTTCTTTGTTTGACACACGCACAACCAGGCGCATGATAAGGAGCGGCTGATTGCGCGTGTCGTCGAAACGAGTTTTTATTGGCGCAACATATTTGAATTGATTAACACAAGAATAAAATTAATTTTTGTTTGGCCGCAACACGAGACATTTATTTGTCGATTTCTACGATTCATTGATTTTGTAACGAGTATTAAATATGAGTGTTTTTGTGATACTTACGAAATTATTTCCTAATATAGCAGCAGGTAATGTTTTTGTTTATTTGTTTATTTAATCCTTTGAATGCCGCTCCAAAAAATATTCGTTAAAATTATCCTGATAAAACTATTACCATCATTGTGTAGATAGGAGTCTTAATAACTTATGCTTTGACGTTAAAATCGTTTAATCTAACTATTAAATATCTTTGAAATCTGGATTTGCATAAATTTAAGATCACGAGAGAAAATAACTTTTTATACCGTGAATAAAAAAAAGTTAATTTGTTTATTAAAGATTAGTTTATTTTGTTCTTATATGTACATAACAACAAAGTATCCGAGGGCGTTTTTTTAATCCTTGAAACTTGAATTGCGTTTTTTTTTTTTTTGTTAATTTGCTCTTTAATATGAATGTTTGTCTGACTAGTTTTTATGTATAGTTGAATTATTAAAAAATTTTTTTAAAGTTTTAAATATTTCATGTTGTCTACTTTAAATGCTCTGGCAGACGTTTTGCAGCTGTTGTGACATTGTACGACCCACAGCTTTATTAACTGTTTTTATAACATTTTCTTAGATGTAACGGATTTCTAGACACGAAATACTCACAGTTTGAGGTTTAAATAGAGCTTTATAGTGCTTTAAAGGCTAGACGCTAGTCTCTCATTATTGTTCCAATTAAAGGCTTAAACTACTACGAAATCGCGAAGGCTTAACGTAATTTATGTGTAATTTTTTCGAACGCATAAATTTCTTATTTCTTGCGAAGCAGATCAACGAAGCAGACGTGTTTGACACTAATATGTATTACGGCGTTAATTTAGGAGCAAGATGTTATTCGAAAGTCGGATTCGTCGGTTTGGGCAACATGGGCGGTCACATGGCGAGGAACTTGCTAAAGAAGGTAATATAGAAAGTTTGATGAGTTATTGTTTCTTTCAACTAAACGGTCCTCATTAATAATTAATTCTTGCATTGTCAGGGCTATGAGCTCACTGTGTATGACGTGAACAAATCGGCGGTGTCGAGTTTAGTGGAGGCGGGTGCAGGTTGTGCGCCAAGTGCGGCTGAAATGTCAAGAGAAGCTGAAGTTGTCATCTCGATGTTACCTTCGAATCAGCACGTTCTCGATGTTTACGCCGGTGAGAACGGTGTGCTTAGGTAAAAATTTTAGAGGGTCAGCGTTTTTTAAAATCCTATCTAATTCCTAAGTAAATGCATTACAAATTGCAATTTGTGTCACTAGTTTATTTATCATTGATTTATTTTTAGCACCGCGAAAAAGAATGTTTTACTGATCGATAGCAGTACCGTGGATCCATCGGTGTCTCAGTCGATCGCATCGCAGGCTCGGGAACGTAATTTGAGATTTATTGACAGTCCTGTTTCTGGAGGTTTGTCGTAACACTTATTAAAATTCATGAGCAGCATACTTATTAGAAACAAAAAATTCTAATTTTACAAAATTTTTAAACATACATAAATATAAATTCCCAGTGAGAAATGACCATTGACGATTCGACGTTGCGTCGATGTTGAAATCATCGTATAATTCATGTCGATTTAATGTTAATTCAATGAGTTACTTATCGCTAAGTTACGCTCGAATAAATTATCGGCTAAAGTAAGAAATAACCGCATGTTGAATTGTGTCGATGCAGGTATAAACGCAGCCAAAGACGGTACTTTGACATTCATGGTGGGCGGCTCGGAAACGGATTTTAACGATGCGAAATCTATTCTCGAAGCTCTGGGATCTAGAGTAGTGCACTGCGGTAGCATAGGAATGGGACAGGCGGCTAAGCTGTGCAATAATATGTTATTAGCGATTAGTATGATCGGCACTGCTGAGGCGTTCAACCTTGGGCAAAAGTAAGAGACAAACGGTGTGCATGTGCGCGTGCGGTTTGTCACCTTTTGCGCGCGATAAAGTTAAATGCATTTTATTTCAGACTCGGCTTGGACGCGAAGGTATTGGCGGACATTGTAAATTCCAGTTCAGGCAGATGCTGGTCTTCTGATCTTTACAATCCAGTTCCAGGAATCCTGCCTAATGTTCCCAGTTCGAAGAATTATGAGGTAATCGAATGTGGAAGGCTTCTGCGTGATCTGGTTTTCTTTTTACATTGCACAAATTCGCAGAAGCGAAATCTCCACCGGAGAAATCCGGATAATCGAAGGGGGGAGAAGATAAACGTTGCAAAAATCATAACATTGCAAAATTTTCGGTTGCGAAGCTCTGATAGCGTATAGTTTATTTAGAGAGCTCTTACAATATTTATTTGAAAATGAATAAATTTTTATGTAAGGCGAGACATAATTGCTTTATCATATTTATTCGAATATTATCATTCGTAATTGACTGATGTTTGAACTTGCGCGTCTAATGGGAATTGTTTGATTATGAAGTAAATAATAAGTTCACGCATGTATAGGGCGGTTTCGGCACAACATTGATGGCCAAAGATCTGGGATTGGCGCAATCCGCCGCGACCAGAACGGAAGCTCCGATTCCCCTCGGTTCCCTGGCGCATCAGATTTACAGAGCGGTCATCGCTCAAGGATTCTCGAATAAGGACTTCAGCGTGGTTTATCAATTTCTCAAAGGTAAAAACTGAAAAGACTTGAAAACTTATATTAAACTTTATTAAATGCATATACATCTCGAATGAATTAGTAAATGAATTTTATATTTGGTACTGTTTGCAAAAGTGGATGTGTTTTTTTTTATTGTTTCCTATCTTACACTTTAATATCGTGCGATATTATAAATATTCTGCATTACTCGTACGCATTCTATAACCTGCAGAGGGCACCAGCTGATAGACAACAGCTAAATGATTATTGTTCTGCAGGAATGACTGATATAGGCTGCGTTCCTCTTGGCGCTTACAGCGCTTATAAGCATCATTTGTCTTTGTTTAATATTTGATAAACAACAAGGATGAAATGATTTTATGAGCGCTGTAACCAGCTGTAAGCGCCAAACGCAACGCAGCTATAGTCATTATTAAGCTTAGTAAATTCGTGAATTCGAACACAATATACAGTGTAGGCACTGATATTTATACACGTCACATGCATCCGTACATGTTTATGTGATAATTTAAATTATGAGAAATATAATTTAAATTATGAGAACAGATGGGGAAACGTACAATTACATACAATTTAAGAAGAATAATCGACATAAGAATTTAAAAAAGAGACCGTGTTTGGTATAACAGAAAATATAACAGAAAATTTATTTATATTCTGTACAAAGATAATAAGTTATTAAAATTATTTTTGTAAACTGTAAATTATATAAAGCTTTGTGTGATTTGATTTGATAAAATGCATTAAAAAAATTTTTTGAAATTATTATTTGTGAAACTAGCAGAAAATCTCCGAAACAAAGCAAATATATATACATATATATATTTTTTTATTATTTTTAATTTACATATTTTTAGTTAAACCGATATGTTAGTACGCTATATTATCAACGCCCTCACTTTCTTACAGTTCTCATTATACAATTTTAAGTTTTACAACATTTTATAAATAATAGCGATAACCTTGTTTATTACTAAATAATTATATCACATATGGAACTTCATATTGCCTCCATTACTGATAACAGCGATATAAATAAATTCGTAAAATAGAAATATTTCAGCTAATGTTGACTAGCGTAGTACTTGAATCTGCTCAACTTTATTACATTTTTCAGTTATTCCTTTACATAACAAAATGTTTTTAAAAATAGCGTTATCTAAATAAAATATATCAAAAATTAGACTTATAATTATCGAATCTAATATGATTGACACATACAATATTGATGCTATTGTTGTATATTGATTATAATTAGTAACTTTTTCCGGTACGTTAGTTTTCTTTCTTTTTACAATAATCGCGTAAATGAACGTTTTATTTTTTTATTCCTGCGATTCAAAAATCGAGAAAAGAAAATTTTATTTTTTGCAAATTTCTTTACGTTGCTTCGATGCGTCGTATAAATCATTTCAGGATTACATTTTCGGTACGAATGTCACCAAAGTTGATACAAAAGTTTTTACCTTTGTTTCTGCGCTGAGAATGGAATCAGTGTTATATACAAAAAATAGAAAGGGAAGTTTTTTTTTCGGCGATTATAAAGTTTTCTTAATTTTTCGTGAATCTGCTGACGATAAGCGCGAAGTTACGAAGGTGCCGGCAGTAATTCAGCCGGTCCTGAGCGGGCCGCGCCACGTTCCGAGCTGTACCACGTGACTACGTGAGTCACGTGATGCACGCGTCCGCGACGAGTTGTCGCCGCGTTGACTAGCGCAGTATGCGTCCCACCATCGCTGTCATTTGACGGCTCTTTTTTTGTGATTAGACGAGGACGAGAGGGCAGTGCGGTTCGGTGCGACTGGCGGTCGTGAGTTCGACGACGGTTTTACCCGCTGTCGTTTCCGTGGATCTCGCGCGAGTCGGGAGAGGATAGAGTGAGAAAGAGAGAGGTGGGGACGTAGAACGGGACGCGAGCGAGCGAGCGCGTTACGAATCCGACGCCGTCGAGAGACCGACTTGAGTCGCCAGTCGCGGAAAGATACACGAGTACACGGCCGAGAGCGCGGTCGGTGGCTGATTTTTCCCGCCGAATTTTCGCGAGCGAGCTGGCGCCAGCAACCGTCCGAGGCAGTCGTCCAGCAACGGCGGCGGTCGGTCGGACGTGTCGCTAGTGTGTATATACGTCACGCACGTGCAATACCGTCGTCTCTGTCTGTGTATTGTGTGTGCGGTGTGTGTGCATACGTACGACCGTGCGTCGTGCGTGCGTGCGTGTGTGCTGCTCTTACAGTCGGTGTCGTCTCGAAAAATCGAGGTACGGACGGAGTATCGTCGAGACCGCGTGCGTGTACCGCGCGGATCAGCAGCTCAAAGTACAGCTGCGAGTGGTGGTGAACGCCGGAGGAGAGCAGAGGATTAGCGGCGGCAGAGAGAGAGAGAGAGAGAGAGAGAGAGAGAGAGGACGCAGCCGAGGAGGTAGAGGAGATAAAGATGAGTAAGACGTGCGCCCGCTGCGAGAAGACGGTCTACCCGATCGAGGAGCTCAAGTGCCTCGACAAGGTACGTAAAATCGCGGCCCGGTCTGCATCCTTGTCCGTCCGGGAAGAGCCAGCCGTCTTCTCGCGAGTCCCCTGCGAATCCTGGAGGAATTCGAGTCCCCTTCGAATTCTCATCTCCGAAAGGAGTGCCGCTCTCCCGGGGAAGGAGCGGGAGAGATGTACCGTTCCCGTTCGGCCCCATTGAGTAGGGCTCGGCCCAGTGGCGGCCTTCGCGCCGTTGCCGATCGACGGCCTTCCTCCGTCGTGCATGCATGCATGCGTGCGTGCGTGCGTGCGTGATACACGCGTGTTTAACGTCGTGGAACGCTCCACCAAAGGGAGTCGTCTACTTGTTGCGTCTGGATATCACGCACGCGGCACTACGCCCGCGAAAAATTTCGCTCAGCTTTTGATTCAGTTTTCATTGAAAAATCGAATAAATAAATATACGCACACACATACATATAATATAATTTTGACAAGAATTGGATAGAAACACAAAAAATCCACTTGTTGCGCGCCGCGCTGTTCTCGCGGCCAACAAAGTACACTTGATATATCGAGAGCCGCGAGAATTCTTCACTGTCACTAACAATAAGATGCGAGGAATATTATGAATATTGTACATTGTAGTAAACTGATTAGATGTACGCTCTAAAAGCTGTTAGACCGTTACAAAAACATAAATTTACGTTTATTTTCAATTCAAATCAAATTAGTAAAATCTAAATACATCAAACAGTGACGACAATATGAGTTAAATTTAGTGCCAAATATCAATACAAGATAGTCATATTTTGAGCAATTTTTAGACACAAATACAGAAGCGAAAAGATAGAGCAAAACATCACGTTTGATTTGGTCACATTCACAGTTGTTTTGGAGAATTCTTGGAATCTCGACGAGACTCTGTCTTCGACGAGAAAAAAAACTCCGTCCTTCGGTAATGTTTATTTGGCTTGTTGATTTGGTTTGATGGGACGTTCCAGATAAATACAATAATGATACGATTATTCGATAAAGTTTGGCGTTCGCTCTTGAAATTTCAAGTTCAGTCAACATTTAATAGCCGTTTATTTAAGAATGAGTCTTCAGTTACGTGAATTGGATAAGTAAGTCTCAAAATTACGTCCTCGTTAAACGTCTTTTAGCGCGTGCAATAACGTAGATATTGTTTGCCAAGATTTTCTTTTCCGATCGTCGTAAGGATGTGTAGTCTCGCTTATGGCATGGTATAGAACGGGTACGCAGCGTTTTTCGAGATACGCAGAAACGGAGTGGGAGTACATGGCAGGATGTACCGTTCGCGAACCGATTGCATTGGTTCAACTGAACGTTATAACTGGTATCTATAAATGTAGATTGTGCGGAAGGCCCAACATAGTTGCACAGTTTTGCTCTTTATTATATTCCATGCAGGAAAATGTCAATTATAAATACGACAATTTTTGGAGAGATTAACAGGAAGGCATAGATATATGGAAGAATAGAAATAAAAGGTGCATATTTTAGTGCGATTATTTTATAGTTATCTTTTTATTTTATCTCATATTGATATGTTTTGTGTGCTCTCGATGAAATATTTTCCAAAGCGTTTTTCAAAAGCGGCCACAATATATGCGACACGACGTTTTGTGAGAATATATCGTATGAAACTTTACTTATGTATTATCTATGTACGCGTAACTATGTATAATCACATAACGGTATTCCATTACATGTCCACTTAAACAAGTTATACACTACCGTTCAAAAGTTTGGGAGCATTACTTTTTTTTACTAGAAGATCAAAAGAATACGTGGTGCCAATACTTTCAAAGAAAAATGCTGTATGAGAAACTTAATTGTTTGTTTTATTTAACTATTCAACATACGTATTATTATTTGTTTCTAATCACATTTCCAAGGAAATATTTCATTTAAAGAATTTTACTGAGTGAACGTGCTATGCTATTTTCACGAAAGAATAAATTTTCGTTCTTTGAGTGAAGTATAATTGTTATTGTTAAATTTACTATTTGTTCATCAAAATCACAGTCTGGTATCGTAATTATAGTTTTCAGTGTTTTTCAGTACAAATTTCCAATTGCTCCCAAACTTTTGAACGGTGGTGTATATATACTTAACGTTGGCTATTCTTCAGATAATTTTTACGTAACAAGATAATATTCGTTTAGCATCACTCGTTTCTACGAATTCTTTCGGCACTTCATTGAAAATAGATCTCGAAATTTATTTCGCTTTTTTAACCGCTATTCAATATTCGGAATATAGCAAATACTCGCTTGCTTTATTCATCGTATGTACCAACTTCCGCTTTCATCGAGGATAAGCCTTGAAATTCCAGATTTATGACTCGCGTTTTGCTCAAAACTGTGAACGAAGGGAGTTCTGCGCGAATCCTTGCGATCAAGTGTTTTTATCGTGAAAGACCGTAGCGTGCAACTCCCATTTAGTTCCATTCGCTGTGCTAATTTATCCGACTTTATTCGCGCGAGAGACCAGAGTCTGGAATTAGTCAGCCAATTATAAAAATATTATTTCAATCTTACGCTATTTCGATATTTTCTTACTCTTTCAAAATATCTTGTAAGTAGCTCATAAGATATCTACATCATGTACTTACAAACTTAATTACAATTTTAATAGTCACTTATTTTAAATTATTTATTATTATTATAAAAGGATTTAAACGAGAGAAATTGAGAATTAATTATATTCCATTTACATGAACTCAAGTCCATATTGCGTACGTGAAATTAACATGCCGTTGTAAACGCCATTTCTGAAGGACGTCGTAGGATGAATTTTACAACGGGAAAGAATTATTATTGTATCTATATAATTAATACGTCTTTAGCATATGATTTCTTTTCTCGCGGCCGTTGTCGAGATGTCGAGAAGATTGGCACATTATATAGCGGGCCGAAACTTTTTGTGAGATAGATTACAGGATGTACCGTTCTCGTTTAGTTCCGCTCGCCGAGCCGTCCTCAGTTCCATTCGCCGCGATATTTCTCGTCTCGTTTATCCTTACGTTGAATGACCGATACTGAGAGCACGGGTCTCTCTGCATATAGAAAGAGAGACAGAAAGAGAGAGAGAGCGAGAGAGAGAGAGAGAGAGAGAGAGAGAGAGAGAGAGAGAGACCTCTCTCTTCAGTCACTTTTACGCCGAATCTTTCTTCCATAAGCGCAAGCGATATCATTGCACCAAATATTTATTTGGCCTCCTGCATTAGAAATAAACTTTGGGGCAAAGTGCACGAACTTTGGAATCTTGCGTCAGTATTTACCGCGAATTCCTCATAAAATTAAATGTTTCATAAATGTATATTACGTCTTACTCTGAGAAGGAATTTGAATAGTAATGAACTTCGCTTAGCTTTCTTATCTATTCCCACGTATATCTGGTCCGGATGCTCGCAAATGTACGAATACGTCATTTGATGTTCTATTCCCGAATGAGATGGAGATTCTCACAAGCGTTTCTACGAAAATTTCAATTTTTCTTTGTTAGAGAAACGCAGTCTAATCAATGAGCAGTTATATATAAATTTGTATTATTTTATTTCGCGTGACTATTTTTATTATTTAATAAGATACTTACATGTAACATTATATCTATATTAATATATACATATGCGATGTGTTTGAAAAAAAAAAAAAAGGAATCTCATTTGTAGCTCGATACTAGAGGGTAAAAAACACTCAACTCGCCGAGCGAGTTAACGGGGTTTTTTAATCGCGTGGGCGGCATTCCGCGTCGGAAAACGGGCTTCGAGAGAAGGTAGAGGAAGTCAGGATCCTAAATTTGGATGTGTATCGCGCCGCATGATCGCCACGTTGGTTTTCTAAATCCTCTCGCGCGTTGCATGTGCCTATCGCACGCTCCATCCATTTTTGGTGGTCTCCCGCAAAGAGAATGAAGAAAAAAGCTTTTCGTCGCAACGTGAGGCAAGATAAAAAAAAATCGTGATAATATGCTAATTCATCTCAGTTGATTTATTCTTTTAATTAAGCGTAGAAGCGATTCTTAAATTATGACTGATAAGTAATATACATATAAATTCTATATATTTTTAAATTCTTTCTGGTTCTGAATAAATTATTTGTTTTACATTTTTAATTTATTTATTTTTTATTTTAGTTTGCGAATGCAATTGAATGTGAATTTAACAATTAATGCTTAACCAAATTATTTCATGTGTGACTTAAAACAGCATAAATACATTATGCAAAAGTAATTAGTAGACAGCTTTTTTGCTCACTTAAAATACTTGCAAATTACGACACGGTTTATGCACTTTTACGTGTAGATCGTTGTTCACGCCCGAGTTTACGCCTGTTTCCACTGTGATGTCTCGTGAAATTGCGGTTGCAAGTTGCAACTGCGTCTCCTCGGTTTCTCGGAGAGGAGGAAAGGGAGACGAAAGAAATGGAAGAGCGGCGCGATACGAGGAGGAATTGAGACGAGACGCATAACGTTACACGGTCAACAGACCGAAGAAGGACTAAAGTGCACGGATGGTGGAGGGGGGAATTAAGGGGAAGAGTTTAATAAAGGAAAATGTTCGTAGCTAATCGGCTTCTTCCTCACGTCGGGCGATGAATTCTTCTATGAAAACTCGCGGGTAGTGCCTTTAATTCTTTGTGTTACTTTCTAATGTGCGTGATTTAATTAAATGTAATCCAATTAATTACCTAACTTAATATGTTTTTATTCTTAAACGAGAAGTCTGTAATTTTAGTATCTCACCGATTTTCAGGTAAATATTAATTTAAGACGCATTTAATTTTTTTTCATTGAATAGATGTGTAACAAATTGCTTGCGATAATAGTATTGAAAACTATCGATATTTTTGAGAAATGATAAAAAGAGTACGAGAGATATCAAATGAAAAAAGACGATATTTAAGAACATTTATTATGCTTTATGGGAATACCTAATACTATTTTATTACCTCTTATAATTTTTATTCGTGTTTTTTATCCCGTGTTTTTGAACCCGCACTTTATACG